ACCTGCCGACCCTAGGCTACAACCCTTTATCGAACGGTTGAATGCTGTAGGCAACTCAATTGCATCATAATCATGGGGTCTACCATGGTCTGTGTGGTTGTCTTTTACCCAGATGTTGATATGAGGTGTGTATCTACACTTTGAACATGCCACACACAGGACAGCTCAGTTGAGAATAATTGATCTATATTATTGGCTGAGTGCCTCAAACTTTTAGCTTCCTTCTATTAAAAGCTCCCTCTTCAAATGTTATTCCAACAGTGCATTTACAATATAAACATGTAAAGTGTGTACATGTTGCAATCTTAAAGGGAAATTATGGCTCTCTCTTTGAAATTTGCTATCTAGGATGATCCTGTAAGAGCAAAGCAGTGGGCTCCCTTTGGACAGGGCAGGAAGGCTGGCACTAGGCTAGCTAGGACAGGAGTCGCACCTGGGGGTAGAGGGAACAAAGCAGAGGCTCCAGTGGGTCTCCAGCCTCTTCACCTGCTGGTGCTGCCACTTCCCATCCCCAAGCTGGCATGGGTTACTTGATTGCATTTCTGTGTACTTTGGGCCGTGTGAATTCCACCTGTTTGATAGTCTGGGAACCTAAAGCAGGGAGGTAAATGCCCCAGTTCAATTTTGGGAAGGAAAGCAGCCCCATCCTTGGCACAGTGTTTCCAACTGGAACTCTGGAAAGTAGATAACTTCAGGTGCTGATGGATTGAAACAGGAGTGGGTCTAGTGGAAAGGACTGAATCTGGAAGTCTTGGATCATCAGGTGGGCAGAGTAGTGGCATCTATACTGTGAGTCTGCCAGTCATGGATGAAATAATCCAGTTCCTCACATCAGAGGCTCATTCATTGTGGTACCAAGTTTGCACTGAACAAATAAATGGTAGGAGGGAAAAATGAGGTCTGATACCATGTGTATAGTAGCTGGTAAGATTCCTATGTGTTTCAGTGATTGGGCCACATATGTGGAGAGGTTACATGCAGTACAGTTTTTTTTAGATCTTAAAAGCAGTCTAGGGGCTGGGGATTTAGCTCAGTGGTTCCGCCGCCTGCCTCGAAAGCGCAAGGACCCGAGTTTGATCCCCGGTACCCCCCCCAAAAAAAGCAGTCTGCCAAATTTCACTCGTTTCCATGTAGTTCATGTTACAGACTGTGGAAAGTGCCAGCCAGAATTCTACTGTTGATCTTGGCACTATGGATAGAGGTCAAGCTGCAGCCCACCTGCCTTTCTTGAGAAGGTGGTAATGGGGGTGGCATGATCCCTGGGCAAAATCACGGGTTCTGAAAGCTGTTAGAGAATTGCCTTGAGTAGATAGTGGAAAGGATGGCAGAAGAGTCTTTTCTGCCCTGGTTGTGGCACAGACTTGATGTTGTAAAATTAAGTGCTACCAGAATTATAGGTGGGTGTGTGTCAAAATGAGACCAACAGCCTATCTGTTCTCTGCCTCCTGTGTTTGCCCTGAAAAGGTAAGCGAGTCTTTCCTTACCTGCCACAAGTCCCTTAAGTCCTGGGCTCTAGTTGGTACATACAGGTAGTCCTGAGCAGCATATTCCAGGCAACAAGGTTGTCACTTAAGATATGACACTTTTAGTAGCCCCCTTGTCAGTATGATGAAAGTACAAGTGTTGACCACAAAGCAAATAAAACAAAAACTCCTCTGGGCCTGGGCAGCTCTCCTTAGTAGTGGTTCTAGGCCTCCTCCGTCCCAAAGGTGGCTCAGCTGGCTTCCTCTGTTCCATGTCCCAAGTTCCCAGGAAATAGCATTACCCACTTGTGGTGGATGGTGCTGCCCTCTCAGGGTCAGAGCAAGTGGAGACCACTTTGTGTCTCCACGTAGGTTCACCAAGCAAAGACTGTGTCTGGTGCATGTATAGAGTATACGCTTTAGAGCAGGCAGGTCTCCACCTAAATAGAAGTCCTGCATGCCCATTCAGTGCAATGGTGGCGAGCAAATGGGAAGCCTGCTTATCTGTGCCTTCTCAATCAACTGGTTTTTTTGCTTGCCTGTGCCTTTGGTAGTAACATTGACTGCCATGAGCTCCACTTTGTGCCCAGTACAATGAGAATGCTGTACATCTGCAGTCTCATCTGATCTGCGAACACTAGGGCACACTCCTGCCTCCTTGCAAGTCTCTGCCTCCAAGTTTGGTTTGGGGCACTCCCTGTACAGATTACTTTAAGGGTGCAATTATGTCAGTAGCTTGAGTTGTCATCTAGTAAAACCAGACTGCTTCCATCTGCCTCTCCCCACGAGTAGTTGAGCTTGTTGGTGGGAAAAGCTGAATAAGACTGGGTTTTAGAAATAAGATAGTGAGGGAGAATTTGTGGCCAATGTTGTCTTCCACAGCCCAGTTTCTGCTGACCTCCTTTTGGCACCTTCCCTTTGTAGGGCAGGGCTAGGGAGATTAACCCATTTTTAGGCCAGAAAGACACTAAATAGCATCATAGTGGTAATTTACAAGATTTTGCCTTCACCAGCCTCTTTGTGCAGAAACCATGTTACACCATGCTGAGCTGAACAACTTTTATTTTTAATGTGTATTTTGGTCTGTGTTTTGGTCTTCTGTAGAATTTCCATGTTTATTTTCAGGTAAGAAAAAGAGGTTAATTTTAGTGTAGTATTTTCCTTAATGATTTAAATTCAGAGGCAGCTAGCCCCAAAGGGCCCCACACACTAATGTAGTAACCTCTTATTCCTCAGAGGTGCTGTGCGCTGCATGCAGAGGGGAGCAGCCAGGGGACAGCGAGGGGGCTATGAGGGCCGCAGGGACTTCCTTGCCATCCACTTTCCCACTCAGCTGCCCCAGCTCATTATGCAGGGCCTATGTCCTCAAAATGCACAGCTCCTGGTGGCATCTGCACCCTTTTCAGTTTTCTCTTCTAGCCTTGCCCAAATGTAGCGTTTTCACTATTGTCTTCCCACTTGCTGTGACTTTGGACATTGGTTTCTACTTATGAAGTACCATTCTGGGAAAGCGTTCAGATGTTCTGAAAATGGGGACAGGACATATCTCCTGTCCTCCTCCCCTCCACAGAAACCAGGCATTCACAGCTCAGGACACACCTTAGGTGTCATCAAGTATGCCCTCATATGGACTTGCTTTTAAACCTGTGTTGTGAATGTTTGCTATTGGTGCCTGTGTCTTGGTTCTGCCCACTCCCTATCAGCTGGGTTTGCCCTGTGCCATGACTTAGGCAACTAGGGTCATTTGCAGCTTTTCTTTCCTCAACAGTGTCACAGTGAACATATGTGAACATGGACCTGTGCACAGCCAGGTGAAGGTTGTGATCCTTAGTGCTGCTCTTCTCTGACCTGGGCTCTCTGGAGCTGTGCCTAGGCTGTGTAGCCACTCTGTGCCTGGCTACTGAAGGTTTTGGGGTGCTGCTCCCTCCCCACTGTTGCCCACTTGCCCCAGTCCCAAATTTGAGACTGAAAAAGAAAACAAGGATCCATGGTTCCTCCTAGTGGCATCACATTTGTGGTGTTTTGAGGATAAAACGTGACTAGTGACTGGATTATCGGAGTTATCTGAAAGTCTGCTCATTTTCCCCAGACTAACTCCTGAGACCCCTCAGTCGTCCTGGGAAGCACCCTCTAGCCTTACTGGATTCAGCCCTTTGACTCCTTTTCATCAGGGACATTGAGCTGTAGTGTTCTCAACCTTGGCTGCACACGGCTGGGCTCCTTCACAAGCCTACTTGGGAATGCTACTTAGTGGAATTCTAAATGGAAAAAAAGCACTTTTAAGTGCCATGTGGGGCATAATGAGTACAGTATGTTGAGTTGAGCAAGCTGTGGGTATTAAAATTTAACCACTTTTTTCACACAATTTACAATATCTCTTCTTCCCGTAGGTTGTTCGCTGGTGTCTTCCCTCGAATGGCAGCAATCAGCCTGGGAGGTTTCATCTTTCTGGGTGCTTATGACCAAGCCCGCAGCATGCTGTCCAAAGTGGGCAGAAAGAGTTGGTGAGGCAGAGGCTACACATGTGCTTCCCTGAGGAAAGGGGTCTGTAGTGAGAACCCATGTGCTCCCGCTCAGTCTTCTGAACAGCAAAGTTCAACCTTGAGAACCTATCAGCCACTGGTTAACCTATCACAGTTAAATCATCACCTGGTATGCCCAGAACAAGGAAGGAACTGTGTCCATAGTAAAACTGAACAGTCTTCTCAGAATCCCTCAATAAATAATTCTGGAGATGCTGAGGCCCGGCCCTTCAGAGCTCTCATTTGATCTGATCTTTTATTTCCTGCCACCTGGGGGTGGATGCAACAGAAGGCAAAATGGTTACAATTTTTTTTTTTCTTTTTTTTTCTGGTACCGGGAATGGAACTCAGGATCTTGAGCTTGCCAGGCAGTCATGGTGCCACTGAGCTACATCCCTGGCCCGGCAAGATGGTTACACTTTTAAAACAAGGGCTACACAAGGAAAAGGAAGGAGACGTGGGGCAAAATTCTGCATGTAGCTATTTCTCCCCTGGGTGAATTCCTATTGTGTAGGGTTTCAGCTTTGTTTAAAAAGAATGAACTACAGGTGCATAGCAAGCATTCTTTCTGGTCATCAGGCTGCTGTTTTTAATTATTTTACCTATAAAAACATGTGATGGTATTATTTTACACAGACATGTCCACCAACCCCTGTGGCACATCTGGCAGTTCCGATGACTGGGCAGGCTCTCAGTGGCCTTGGGAAGCGGAGCCCCACTGCACTCTTTCCCTGGAATATGCACAGCATTGCTTGTCTTAGTAGAGTTTGTGGCCCAAAGTTACAAGCTCAGCACTGGAAGCAGAATGGAAGATGTGGAAAGGTCAGCATACTTTGGGATTTCAGGGCTTGACTAACGAGGTCCAGGTGTAGCCAACTACAGGGAGAAGTCTCAGGAGTCTAGCAGTGGTGTCTTCCTTTAGCAACAGTACACAATGCTGCTTTGCCTAAGTTTTTTTTTTTCCTTTTTAGGGCAAAATGTTAAAAGTAGAATGACATTTACAACAGAAAGAATGTTAAGTTTATGGCTAGGGTCATTTATAAATGAACCTTTATTAAAGACACTTCAATGCCACTTGTTAGACACTTCAATATTTTACATGTTTTTTCAATGTACACTGTACCAAAATTTCTATAAATAAATAACTGTACATAAAAGTAATACTTCCTCTTTCACATTGCCTCTCAGAAGCAGCAAATTCACATATTTTGTGGAAGTAACATTAGTTAACTTGTGAACAAAATTCTAAATGTGCTTACCTTTTGGAACAGTGATGACCTCTGACAGTAAAATTTGACATAGGTAACCATTTTGTCAACACTTCCCTTCAGCGTTTGACTAAAGGAACTTGCTCTGAGATTTTAAAGACCTTGCTTGTTTCAAGGTAATTCTTGCCGAATTACACATTGGCACTCACAAGATGGTTAGCTACAAGTCTCCAAAGTGCAAATATACCCAGGTCTAGGGCTAAATTTTGTACAGTCCAAGCCCAGTTCCATCTGTGCGAGGGGAAAGTGTGGACAGGCCTGCTCTGGCTCTTCAGTAGAAATAAGCTAGCCCTGAAAAGTGAGAACTTTATCCTTTTCATCCTCCAATGTCATATATTGGCAGAACTAAAACTTCAGTATTGAAAAAAATCCACAGGTACCAACACCAGCAGCCTTTGCCTTAATAAAAAGCTTCAAATAACAATCCGAGGATCCAGATAAGACATTTGGTTTTATCATAAAATGAACTTCAAAGTAGGAAGAAAGGCAGTGCTTAATTGTGGTGGCTTAACAATTCTCCTCCTTAAAGAATGGACTTAAACCTACAATAAGTAGTTAGTTACTCTGCAGAGATGAGTGAGTGACTTGTACACAACACGGGCAGTCTGACTGGCATGGGAAGCTGAGGACTTCTCATTCTTCCCAACCCACCAGAAGTGCTGGGGAGCAAATGTGGTTTTCACCTCACAAAGTTCCAGCTGTGCATTAAGGCACCAGAACTATTCCCCACCCCCCTCAAATTTAAACAGCAACCTGATATGAAAAATAATAGTCAAAATTGTATAATTCTTTTGTTAACCATGCACTAAAAGATTAAAATAGCCTCTGTAAAAGATATATAATATATATGAAATCTCTGAAAACTCTTATGTACAATGGTATCAAATACTTTTTCTGCCTTTTGTACACAAATAGCCTCTTGCATTTCTGTGCTTTGGATGCAAGTCCTGTGACTGGTATTGCATACAGAGTTAAGAATGTACAGATCAGTGATGCTTAAGCCCAGCTTCCGCATAGCCTCTCCTACCTCTTTCCTGCTGACAAAAGCATGACAAGAGCTGAGGTAGACAAAGCTTAGCTTTTTGGTGCCAACAGCAGTGGTCCCCTCCACTTCCTGGGGAGCTGTCCTGTAAGCGGTGTGGACTCAGGACCAGAGCCACATGCTGTGGGGAGATGGCCATTAGAAACAAGCAAGTGCTGGGCTTCTGGGAGTTCTGGGTTGCCTGAAGTTAATGTAGATGGAGGCTCTTGGTTTATGGAGTCTGATTCATACAATCTTGCTAAAGTCCAAGATGAATCCCCTAGGAGAAAAGATAGGAAACATCAGACCCTCCCCTCTGACCACTGAAGTGGCTCTAACCCACCTGCTAGAGATGCCTCAGAATACAGTCAAAAGTTACCTTTTCCATCTAGAGATGCCACTGGCTTTTTCTGCAAGGATGGCAACATTCTATCGTGATTACTGGGGTACAGGGAACCCCTGCAGTCAGTGCAGGACCCCTCAATAGTCCCACTGTGAGGGTGCTTTGAAGAATGTTCTCGATGATTCTGACTGGGCTCCTGGCCACCTGCTGTACTTGGCTGTGCACTGTCTTTGGACACAGGCTGATGATAGAAGACGTGTTCCTTGGAATAACTGTCCATATCACTGTTGCAGTCACTACATATAACAGGGCCATTGTGTTCTGAAGGACAGAGCAAAGATGGAACCATCATCATCACAGAAGTCTCCAACTCCACACAAGGCACAGGCTGCTTCTCTCCTGCTATGAAAAGGTGAGCGCGATGTTTACATCACTGACATACACACCTTGTGTACACACACATTCCCTCTCCAAAGCATGCTCAGAGAAAAGGGCCTGGGCATACCCAGGCTGCTAGTGAGCTAAACATTCCAAATTGTAACTGTGTACACAGAGAATGTGGTCGTACTACTTTTGATCACAGGGGGAAAAACCCATGATGCCTAATTCAAATGAGTCTTCTGAGTAATGAGAAATTTAACCTCAAAATAGCCCTGGTGAAAAGACATTTTTGGGGGGGACTTGTCCCTTAAGTTGCTTATACATTTTAGAAAATTCATGCTCAGACTTTGTACCCTATAGATTTACCTATGAGAAACAATATTCTAAAATTAAAAGGGAGCCAGGCCAGAGCTTCTTGCTTATATACTGAATACCAAATACAGAAATAGTACTAGACCAGTAATGTGTTTCTCCCTTTCATATAATGAGAAGGTCAAACAAAATTTGGATTTCAAAAGCAAACTACTTTTCCCTACCCATCTTAGGTGGACCAGGTGTCCCATTGGCTTTTTCTGTCACCTTCCAAGGCTCTTTAATATATCCCACAGAGAGCTTGGGCTGCCTGCATGTGATGGCATGAACGTTGACCTCTGGAAAGAGGCTTGCATCTCTCAGGCAAATACCTGCAACAGATTCCCCCAGTCAGAAACACTGCTTGGTACCTCTCAGTAGGCCTTACAGAGGAAATGGGCAGCAAGGCTACTGAAACAGCCTTTTGTATGAATTGGCTTTTAAGTGGTGGGTGATATGCCCCCAAGAGGTCCAACAAGGAGGGCGTTTTCTCCTTTCACCCTCCTAGCAGACAAGCCTTTCATCATCTGGAGCCATGTGAAAGAAGTTCTTAGGAGGATAAACCCTCGGGCCCCAGGCAAGTGACCAGAATCTCCCACCATCTGAAGTTGCTCCCCTTTCCAGAGATTTCTCCTGTGAGACTAGAACAGAGAGAAGATGTGGGTATTTCCCACAGTGTCATCTCTTGGTGTCCACAAGGGGATGGTTCCAGGACTGCACCAAAAGCCAGGGATACTCAAGTGTCTCATTTAAAATGACACAGTATTTGCATAAGATGTATGAGCTTCGTCCCATATCTCTAGATTACTGATAATACCTAGTAAAATCTAATGCTATGTAAATAGTTATTATACTGTATGTTTAGAGAATAATGACAAGAAAAGTCTGTATATGTTCAGTACAAACTTTTTTTTTTCCTAAGTATTTTATTTTGAGCTTGGTTGAATCCATGCATATGAAGGGCTGACTTCATAAGCAATGGCTTGGTTTCAAGACCTGGAATGTCCTTTGCAGCTATTATTCCCATCAATCCTATCTTAACCTGACTGGGAAATAGCACTAAGCCCAAGATAGTGACCAACAGAAGCCATTCACCATTCAGACTTCTAGTTCACCAATGTCCTCCCTCCTTAATACCAGAATTTTCCCTGGGAGAAGCTGGAGACTAAGTCCAGCCCTGGAACCACAATCACCTCAGACCTCTGCTTCACTATTCTTGAGGCCTTACCATTGCTTTCACTGTGTTTGCTGGCCTGATGGCCACCCTCTGTCCTGACCACAGTCTCCTGCCGGTCAGAAAGAGTCCCCTGAGAAGAGAGATAGCTTGGAACATCTGGTGGCACAATGGTTTCATCTGCAAGGAGATAAGACAATGAAATACTAGAGCCACAGTGACAACACATGCAGACATATATTCACCCTCAGGCCCAGAAACAAGATGATTCCATCAACAGCCATCCTGCTGTACAGAGATGTTATGCAGTCAGTGTGGGTGAGAACTGCCACCTCCTCCCACCAAAATAAAAGAGTGATGGGCTCACAGAAGCACACCACCGTGAGGCTGGAGGACTAGTCCGCCACATGACAAGAATGATGTGCCTAGGATACCTCTGAATTACCAGTGTCCATCCGTCAGGCACATATATTTAACAGTATACTCATTTCACATGCATGTCTAGAGTTAACACGGTGTCAGTGGCTTAAAGCCTCAGCTATCCAGAATGACACTGTCTTCCCAAAGGGTCTGGGGGGTCTGAGTATGCTCAAGATCTTGATGGACCCTCTGGACCTGGCCTCACTGTCACTGCTGCTCTGTCCCCCCTGAAAGTGAGCTCTGGCAGTAAGGCCCAACCTGTATTGGTGACACTGTACTCCTCGCTCTTCCTCCTGGTCTGGTAGATGATGCACACCCAGACCAGAGATGTCAGGACAATGCTGCACACCACAGCGATGGTGAAGATGCCCACCGTGGTCCCATCCTTCCTACAGCCAGGGGCAGGCAATATGCTCAGCTGGCTATGCGCACGCTCTGTGCCCAGGGTGTTGGACATCTCACATGTGTAGCGGCCCGCGTCTTCTGCCACCACATTCTGAACAACCAGTAGCTGGTTGCCGGGTGTGAAGTGGTGCCGCTCAGTGAGGCTCAGTGGACGGTCACCCTTGAACCAGGTGATTCGAGGTGCGGGGCTCCCAGTTGCTTTGCACTGCAGCGCCACCGTTTCTCCCAGAGACACCACGCGGTCTTCTAAGGGCACTGCCAAGGATGGAGTTTCTGCAAGAGGTCAGTGAAGTTCATACCTTTATCCTGTGAGCCTCAGTTACTGTAGATCTACTTTGTTTTCTGGACAAGGAGTAATCCTGCATATCAATAAAATGCCATCTGATATATTCCCAGTGGCATGCTTTTCAGGGTGGCTTCAGAAGGTAAAGGTGTTGGGACCTCTGATCACAGAGCCCTGCCACTCCCAAACTGTGCTGTAAGGCCTGTGTTTCTCTTCCTGACCAAGACTACATCCAACCTGCCAATTCAGAGGGTGGTTGTTATTTGGAATGCTGTATACCTGAGTCCTATCAAAGCTCTTCATTTACTGGCTATTGGGTTGGGGTTTTTCTTCACAAGAAATAGAACTAGGGCAGTGGTGGTGAACTTAAAGCATGTGTGTCACAGTGGGCTGTTATTGAAAGCTCTAAAAGGTTTGCCATCACTGAATTAGGAGAAGGGGACTAAAAAGAAAAGTGTATTGTATACATGTGTACCCACTCTTCAAGATGAATGTAAACATCATGTACTGCAAATATACACTAATGAGAGAACTGCTTATTCAAGAAAAATCTTAGCTGCCCCAAAATTCAAACTAGGTAGAAACAGCCCATCCAGGCTCCACAGAGAAGTCTGATGAGGTTCCTTCTAGGTGCCTCCAGTACTTAAGTGTTTGTGTCTGTCTCTCACCCCCCACCCCCCAAGAATGTATCAACGGCAAACCTAAGACAGTCAGGGTGGCGTTTGCTGAAATGGAGCCAGCTGAATTCTGGGCAGTGCAGCTGTAAACCCCCGAGTCGTCTATTTTCACATCAGTGATGAAAAACACATCATCATCTGGCATGACATGCATACGTCGCTCACGCGCAGCAGGGAAGTCTGTGCCTCCATCTTTCTGCCAGGCAATCTGGGGGTTAGGGTGGCCAGTGGCAGCACACTCGAGGCGGGCCATGGTACCAGTCCGGATGGCGATGTCGTAGGGCATTTTAGTGAATGATGGCAACACTGGAAGACAGTACATACAGGGTGAGGTTATTGCACAGCCAGCAGATTCGAAGCCAGGGAAATCCTCTGGCAAGTGGACTTCCCCATGCTGTGCCTGGGTGTCAGCTCACTGCCTCCTCACCCTTGTTGCAGTACCTTTGGATCAGGAAGGGATGCCCACCTCTTCCCCACCACAGGCAGAGCATCTCCATCAACCTTTTCTAGGCTGGCAATAACCCCCTCAAGGATAAGGCTTGTGATGGAACATTCCACCTCACAGTCCTCAGTCTACATACAGAGGTCTCCGATAAGCAGGGCCTGAAGTGGGCTTGCTTTAATTAGCTACCATAAAAGAATGTGGGAAACAAAAATACCTGTTCAATCAAGGAGGAATTACAGAGGGAAGGCTGGTACATGTTTGTCCCAAGGAAGCTAACAGGATGGCCTTTCCTCTTGAAGAAACCCACTTTGGAAAGGAGTTATGGGGACCCAAAGAAGCTTGTGTGTCTCCTTCCTGGTCATCTTTACATGGGTAATGGACAGGGAAATCAGGAGTGTGGTCTATGGGAATCCTGCAGAGAACCACAAAGAGATGGCATCTCCATACCATTCACAGTGAGCCTGGCTTTCTGCGAGTAGGTGGAGCCAAAGTGGTTTGTGATGACACACTGGTAGCGGCCCTCATGCCCAAAAGTGATATGACGGAGGTGCAGGATGGTGGTGTACTCCATCACCTCTCCATCCTGAGCACGGACATGGGCAAAGTTCTCCATGTCAGCGTTGGCCAGGACCTCACTGTCCTTCTTCCAAGCAAAGGTCATAGGGGAGCTGCTGCTGCTGGCTGCTGAGCACATGAACCGGATGTCCTTGCCCACCACAGCTATGGTTGTCTCTGGCTGGGTGATGATCTGTGGCTTTGGGAAATCATCTGGGGAGAGAAGGGCCAAGTGTAAGGTGTCCAGGCTCTTAGTACACAGAGGACCAGTGCTATCCAAGGTAATAAGAAACCAGGTCAGAAACCGAGCAGAGACAAGATCTTCCATGGGCCCTGTCCATCAACGTAAGTGGCATTTCAGTGCTTAATCGATGAGCAGTGATGAATGAGACAACTACACCAGTGTTATTTGCTTGCTTTTACACACAAAACACACAGAGGTTCCACCAGTCATGACTGCGTAGGTCTTACTCCCAAAGCACGGGGCCTGATGAGCTTCCAAAACATCAGGACTTCTAAAAATCATACCTCCATTAAAACAATGAAAATACCTGCAAAAATGGCCAACAACAACTTTTCACATTTTTGAGAAACCAGAATGCTTTCAACAATCCATGGTATGTTGATTCAAGAAAATGGCTACATCTCAGTAAGAAAAGTGAGCTCTCTGGTGTTTTCATTTATCCTAAGTCAATCCCTCTCTCCCCAAGTCCATGGAAGTTTGAAACCCAGCAGCTAGAGTGCTTAGAGCTCCCCGAAAAGCCCCACTCATGAGATCTGCATTTATTTGACCAGATATAATATGCTCAGTGGAGGGTGCTTTGTACCCAGGCATCTAGTGCAAACAGCAACCACCATTTAATTGCACAGCTGTCCAAGGTGACTATACTACCTGGGGCAAAAGAGAGGCTGGCCAAGAAACTAAAGGAATATTAGGCTAATGAAAAGGTCCAACAGCTTCCTGGGAACCTAGAAGGCCACATATGCATGGGCAGGGCTCTGCATACTCAGAAAAAACCAGAGGAAGTCCTTGTTTCTCACTGTGGCTGAGCTTGAGGACCTGCACAGGTAAGAAGTGGCAGTCCACCCCAACACACAGAGACTCTGGGTAGAGAATGGTAGGCTTCCTGGTCAGTGTTTTAGGACTTCTATGTCCAATTATTAGCTAATCACTGAGCTAACCAAGCAGGAACTCCAGTATCTATACAGAATAAGTTTTATAACACTTGTCCAGGACAAGGCACTAAATAATAAACTGGTAGAGGATAGAGGAAGAATCTGATTTCCAGATATGCCACATTATTTTCTTTTAAATAAAATTTTCAGCAACAGTCAACAGAAACTGAAGAAACCTTGAGATCAATCAGGGACTTAATAAAAAAGACTACATGAGTTCTTATAAAAATGTACCAAATATAAATTGCGGCATTTAAAAGCATAGTGAATGAAATAAAACAGTTCACTAAAAGAGCTTGATAGAAGAACTGAGCTGCAGAAGAGTCAGTGATTTTGAGATAAGTCAATGGAGAATATCCAGCCTGAGAAACAGAAAATGAGAAACTTGAACAGAACCACAAAGACTTGGGCAACAGCATCAAGCATAACAACATACAAATAATAGTCCAAAAAAGAGATTGAAGAAAATGGAAAAAATGTATTTTAAGAAACAATAATGTAAACTTTCCAAATTGGATGAAAAACATGCACCCAAGAAGTATAATGAACTCCAAATAGAATGAATTCAGAGAGCCACATCTAGATGCAGCACAGTCAAGCTCAAAGGCAAAGAATTTCCCATCCAAGTATTCCAAGATGAGACATGTTCAGGGTAGTATGGCTGTAAACAAAGGCAAAGAATCTTGAAAACAACAGCAACTGATGTAGCAGTTGATTTCTCATTAGAAACTCTGGTGGTCAGAAGGCAGTAGGAAGATATATTCAAAGTACTATCTATTAAAAATTCTGTATCTAACAAAACTATCCTTCAAAAATGAAGGAAAAATTAAAATACTTCCAGATTTATAAAACAATCTGACAGTGAGAATTTACCATTACGAGACCTATTCAAGAAATACTTCCAATTTTAGCTATCACGAATTGTGCTGCTATGAACATGGGTGCACATATATCACTGTGGTATGATTCTCATAATTCCTTAGGATAGACATCTAGCAGGGGAATAGCTGGGTCAACCCAATTGCCCATCAACTGGAGAAAATGTGGTTGTTTTATAAAATGAAGTATTACTCAGCCATAAAGAACAAGAAACTAGAAACATTTTGAAAGTGTAAATAAGGACTAAAAGGTATAAGAGATAATGTGAAATAGGAAGAAAAGGTGCAAAGGGGAAGGGGAAGGGGAAGTGGGAGGGGTGGGGGAATGGAATTAATATGAGAAAAAGAAAAAAATGGAAACAAAGTCTTAGTAGACAGGGAGGGGTGGAGGGGTTGAAGGGAGGGCAGGGGAATGGGTAAAAAATGGGAACCAAGATGGATTATGTAAAGGTGCAAATTTCCAGTGATGAATGTCATTATATTGTATACCTTAAATGTACCAATAAAATTAATTTAAAAACATACTAAAGGCTGTCCTTCAGGTTGAAATGAAAGGACATTATACAGTAATTCACATTCATACAAATGGATACAAAGCACCACAAAAAGTAAATATATAGGTAAATATAAAAGTATGTATTTTTGTCCGTAACTTTTTAGATTTAAAGAGCAACTACATAAAGCAATAATTATAAATCTTACATGACTATGGTTTATGACAAGAAAACATATATAGTGCAAACATCTTAAAAAGTAGCAAATATAAAAATATATATGATAAAAAAGTTGAAAAACTATGAAAAACTCACAATATCATACTTAATGGTGAAAGGCAAAACTCTGCCCCCTTAAGATTAAAAAGGCAAAGATGTCTGCCCCCACCACACAGAGAGAATAAACACTACTTTGGAGCTCCTAGCTAGGGGAATTAGGCAAATAAAACAAATAAAGCCATCCAAATTGGAAAGGAAGAAGTAAAATTATCTTTGTTTGCCACTGACATCATGATTATATATAAAGAAAATCTTAAGGATATCAATTGAAAAACTCCAATGATGCCAGCATAGTTGCAGGATACGAGATCAATATATAAAATTAAGCTGTATTTATATATACTATTAATGAAAGCCCAAAAATGAAATGAAGAAATCCATTTATAACAAAATAAAAGGAATAAATTTTAGAAAAAAGATTTGTACACTGAAAATTACAAAATAAGACTGAAAGAAATTAAAAGGAAGATTAAAACAAGGGGGAAAACATCGCATGTTCATGGACTGAGAAGACAATACTATTAAAATGGCATGCTCCCTAAATTAAGTCTCAATCAAAACCGCGGTTGCCTTAATTATAGAAATTGACAAGCTGTTCAAAAATTTATAGGGAAATGGCAAGGGACTGATAATAGTCAAAACAATCTTGAAACAACAAACCGGAAGGCTATGTAAGAACTAAAGTTATAAAACTCTCAGAAGAAAATACCTTGTCTCAGGCAGTAGTTTCTATATTGTGCACAGCATCAAAAGCACAGATAACAAAAGAAAATATAGAGAACTAGGACTCTATCAAAATTTAAAATTTTGCACCCAACTGCGAAGAAAATGAAACAAAAAATCCAATAGACTGGGGGAGAATATTAGCAAATTATATACCTTGATGAGGGTTTGATACTCGAAATTTAGAACTTTTTATAACAGTAAAAAGAAACAAGCACAAATGATTTGAATAAGCCATTTTCCTAAAGATATACATATATCCAAAAAGCATATGAAAACTTGCTTGACAGTCATCAGCAATACCACCATAAGAATAGTTTGCACCCCCAACTACAGCTAAATAAAAAAGAAAATGGCAGATGTTAGCAAAAATGGGGAGAAATTAGAATCCTCATACACTGCCAGTGGGTAGGTAAAGTCATGAAGCCAGTTAGGGAGAAGTTTGGCAGTCCCTTAAACAGTTACCATGTGACCAGCAATTCTATTTCTAGATATAAACACAAGAGAATTCACACAAAAACCTGTATATGAAAGTTCACATTATTCATAATATCTAAAGTAGGTATAACCTAATGTCTATCATCTGATGAATGAATAAATATATATATTATTCAGTCATTAAAGAATGAAGGACTGGGGCCGGGGATGTAGCTCAGTGGCGCTGCACCTGCCTGGCAAGCTCAAGGTACTGAGTTCGATCTCTGGTACGAAAAAAAAAAAAGAATGAAATACTAATATATGCTAAAAATGTATGCTAAGGGCTAGGACTGCAGCTCGATGGTAAAGTGCCTGCCTAGTATGCACAAGGCACTGTATTCAATGCCCAACTTGCAGGGGGAGGGGACAGCTACATGAGAAAAGATAGGTACAAATGACCACAGATTATATGACTCCATTTATATTAACTCTCCAGATAGGCAAGTCAGAGACATAATACAGATTAGTGATTGCAAGGGCCTCGGAGCAAGGGAGCAACTGCTGATGCTCTGAGGTTGGGGGTTTGTTTTAGAAGCAATGAAAATGTTTTAAAATTAGTAGTGACAAAACAACTTTTGAATATTCTAAAGCTATCTGATTATATCTTAAAGGGGTAAGTTTTTATGTTATGTCACATTTTTTTAAGTTTTAATGAGCTATACTTTACTAATTCACCCATTTAAAGTGGACAATTCTAAGGTTTTTAGTTATTAACAAATAGGTGTAAGCATCACCACAGTCAATTTTTATACATAAACCCTGTACATTTTAGCTATTCTCTCCTTCCTCCTTCCCTCCCTACCCCTGAACAACCACCAATATATTTTCTACCGCTACAGATTTCCCCATTCTGGACATTTCACATACATGGAATCCTATGATTTGTAGTCTTTTGTCACTGACTTCTTTCAGTTAGCTTATCATTTTCAAATTTCATCCATGCTAAAAGACTGCTTGCTTTTTAATGCCCAATAATATTCCATTGTATGGCTATACCACCATTTTTTTATTCATTCATAAACTGATGGGCAGTGAGTTGATCCCACTTTACAGCTATTATGAGTAATGCTGCTTGAACATTCATGTAGACATTTCTGTGGGACATGTATTTTTGTTTCTCTTGGATATACCTAGGAGAAGGACTGACGGGTCACATCATCACTCCTATTTCTGTGTTTGAGTGAGGAGCTGCTAAGGCTGCTTTCAAAAGTGATTGTGCCATTTTATACTCATACCAGCAATGGAAGGGAAGTTCAGGTTTTTGGCCCTCCTCACCTGCACCTGTTCCTACCTGACCTTTCACCAGCCATCTTAGTGTGCAGAAGGCACCTAACGTTTCCTTTTTTAAAGAGTAGGAAACACCCACAGAGCTTGAAACTGATCATCTGCCAAACATTTCATGATTCCCATTAACACAGGATGGCTGTTTGCGGGGAAGTCTGAGCTGAAACATGGGGTGAGTCTGAAAGATGTAAAATAAACAACTGTTGCTATCCAAAATATGCCAGGGCCACAGGCTAGGTGCTGTCCAGAGGAGAAGATTGCCTTATGACAGGAAAGAGGGAGGAAGTGGCAGAAAGCTTATTTTCAGGGAGCTCCAGAAACAATAGTCACAAGGGCCAGGGATTTAGCTCAGTGGTTCTGCTGCACAAGGTCCTGAGTTCCATCTCTGGTACCCCAAAAAAGAAAAAAACTATAGTCACAGACTTAAAAAATGGATTGATGAACCACAGCCTGTACAGCCATTTTGTGCCTAGAGAATGGGAGCTGTGCATAGCCTCAGAGGCCACACAGAAGCAAGGACAGCTCAACATGCAGGGCTGCTACCATGTTCTTCATGTTTACTTCTCCCTGGTCTGGACAGGAACCAGCATAGCAAGCCTTCTTTCAGAAGTGGTGCCTGTGAAGAAGTGGAGGGGTGTGTGTTTATACAGGGAATACTTACTCATCTATTGCCCCCGACAGGTACACTGACTATTGCTATAGCCAAAAAGTAAGACAGAGAAGTGGCACAAAGGGACCCTATACCCTAGGTAGGCTCCTGGCGAGGAGTGAGGAACAGCGATGACTGAAAAGCAAAAGGGGCACAGACCTGACCAGCGGTCTGGGAAGCCCTCACTCCTGCTTAGAACAAACTCCAGGAACAACTTGCTCTTTGACTCCCATCTTGGCTGTGAGGTTGTGTCACTCTTGTCTATGATACCCTTTGTGTGTGTTTTCAGCTGTTCAGCCTTCTCTGCATTCTTTGCAAGCAAACTTGGGCCCTCACCACCCCTGGTCAAAAAGACTGCAAGAGCTACATTCCAACAACCAGAAGGAAGAAAGAATTTCAAGCTACCGGTGCAGATTTCAGTGGTCTGGAGAAACAGCAAGAGTGCAAGTCAACATTGAGGAATTATTTTTACGACAGCAAATGTTCTCCTGAGACCTACTCTTCCTGTGTTTAACCTCTCATTCTTGGGACTGGAAAGAAATACACATTAAAACCCCAGCCTCATACACTGAGTAAATTCACAACTAAACCCAGGCACCAGCACCATTCTGAAATACCAGAGCTATATTCCTGAAACTGACTGCTCCGATTTGTAGCTGTATTCCCCTCTGGTTAAATGCGCGTACTCCAAGAACCACATAATGAGGCACCGTACAGTAAATACTGTGTGTGGTTTCAGTGGGAAATAAATTGCATCCAGCAGCTGATGTGTAACCACAGGCTAGGGTTTACTTGGATCCCAGAATTACTCCCATAATAATGAGTTCCTCCTGGCTGCTTTGTCCTCTATGAAAACAGAATGCCAAAGATGGTCTTACCACATACAAAACCTTCTGGCGGTACTGAGAAAATGCTCTGGCCCTTCAGTGACTCTGGGTGGGCACAAGTGGCTGTCACAAAGGCCTGCAGTGTCTTGCTCACTAGCCACGGGGGCAGCCACTTCAGCTGGCAGTCACACAGGAAGCTCTCACTGTTGATGTGGCTGCAAGAAGAAAAATAGATGTTTACTGAGTGACCACAAGGGAGGGTCTTTCTTAACATACAGCATGATCATTTACTTTCCACTGGCTTCTGGTGCCAGCACCACCGTATTACATAGGGATATACTTTTCCTCGTAGGTCTTCTCCGGTAACTGAGAACAATGCATATAATCTACATGGAGATCTCTGCACCTCTAACACACTCCCAGTGATGCAGATGTGCACCCAGAGTCACAATACTCTGCAGCCTGACTCTTGTCCTCAGACACTCTCCTGTGTGACCCTGGGGATACCTTCCAACCATTCCTGACTTTGGATACACTGAACAGTGGCAGGAGGCGCTTTGCCCTTTCTGGTGTTTACACTTTTCTGACCAGCTATTTGGACTTTCAAACTCAATCTGAGACTTTGATCTAAATTCTGCAACAAGTCCTAAGAGTCTTCTTTTCCTATGTGGCTGTTATTTTTTGACTTCTCAGTGGTGCATGGCTTCTTCCAAATGTAAACCTCACCAACATGCCACCCTCGTTTGTTTATCTCTACACCAGCATTATTAAGGAGGCCAGCAGAATTTGGCTCTGTTCCCTAAATAGTGCTTGTTAGTTAATTGTCACTCCCAGGGGGCATGAGAATGCTCAACTTTGGTTTTCTGAGACTCCAATCAAAACAGAATATTTTCTTTTTCATTTCTCAGCAACTGAGGATAAGCTTTTCAAACAGAAATCAGAATGGCCATCTGAGTGGACATTCCTTCCTGACGAGTCACTAGATGATAAGTCACCCAGAGGGTCTAGCCGCTCTGATCCTGGAAAACCTCAAGGCTCAAGCTAAAGAGCAATGGCTGCCCCATGACAAGAGAAAAGACAGAAAAAAAGCACATGGGCATCCCCGAAACAAATCGTCTCTATACCTGGTGACCAAAGGAGGAGGCATGAGAAGGCTTAGAAATTCCAAATTCATCATGGGAGCCAACATCAGCTTCCTTCTCCAGCCACCACTATCCTTAGACACCAACAAAACAAGTCTAGGTACTGGCTTTCTGTTTTCTATTTCACTTTCTGGACTCCTAATGACCAGAGAAACTGTCAAACTAGCAAACAGCAAGAAAGAATGAAATTTAACCCCAGGTGGACTAAATTAAGTAAAATCTACTCTTCTATCCTGTTCCTTATCATTCCCAGATGAGCTGTGCATCCTATTAAAATAATTTTGCAAAGTTCTTTTCCAAAGATTGAAATAATTTATCACAAAGTTTTTTTAATAGGAATAGGGGTCCATATTATAAGACTGCATTTCACTTGATGGGCAGGTCAAGTTCTGCTGAGAGACCATGAGCGCTGTCCTGCTGAAGAGTCACTGCAGGTAGCAGAAGGGTAGTCCCTTTAATCATAAGAAAACAGCCTGTCTTTCTCTGCATATGTGCAGGTGAGCATCTTGCATCACAGGAATGAGCTCTAGGTGATGACTGGTTGGCTGTGCCAGGCACTGGGGACCTCATCAGCCTGATAAAGAGACAGATGAAACTCCCTGCCATCCAAAGCACTTGGACTGCAACACTTCTATGTGGTCAAGCAGGACAGCATGGTGAAACTGGGCCATCACTGTGACACTTCAGGTGCTTATGTGGGGATAGGGAATGAGCACAGGAACACACTAGGGAAAACAAACTTGACCCCTACCCTTAATCAGATGTGTATGGAAAGGTCTGGGCCTTGTAACCCACACAGTGACTCAGTGTGCCTGCTGGGTTCTGCTTAAAGGGTTTTCCACCCTGGACAAACCAGACCCTGCAAGACTGGAGGGAAGGTTTTCTTAAGGAATGAAGCAGAGACCAAAAAGACAGGAGAGGAACTGAAGCCAGGCAGTGGTACAGACAGTGACCTCCTGAATCCCTGCCCTGCAAGATAGAGTCCGGGGCTGACTGGCCAGTGGAGACCAGGAGCCACCTTCTCAGATACTAACAGGCACTGCCTTGCATGGCCTCTGCCTCCAGCCATCCCAATACTTTGCACTGACACTGTGCATTTTCATGATTCCAACTCAAAGTGTGTTTCTAATTATCCCTTATGGAAAATTACCTAGAGGATGACTAAGTGCACAGGACAACCTGCCCTGATCCAATGGGGTAAGAGAATGACCAAGTGGAATGAATCCATTTCTCCCCACAGAGCCCAGGCCAGCACAGCTGAGTATATGCTCCACTGATGGAAACCCAGGCAGGAGATTTAGCTGAGCCTCCAGAACCAGGCAGAAGCAGTTTTTTTTTGTTTTGGTGGGGGGCAGAGGGTATCCAAATTTCTAGAAGGGTCCATTTTCTTCCTAACTAGAAAACGGACTCATAAGAGCCCCGAAAGGAAAATCTCCTTCCTTCCCTCCTCTCCAAATGTCCTCATCTCTTTTAATCTGACATTATCTGCAAGTTTCAAAGACAGAGGAGTAGTAAGAAGTGTATGAAAAAAGCTCACCCCCCCACCATCTTTTACAGTAAATGTTTCATTCAGTTTGCATTATCATATATCCCTATATCCAGCCTTCTAAAATGGTCTGGAATCACCCAGTTCCCTTCCCTGGAATGGGAGCTAGAGAACTGTTTCTATCTTACCCGATGGGCAGAAGCGGAACTGCTGAGGCTGGAAGAAGAGAGCATTCTGCACAGCCCTAAGGCCCCAGTGAGCATGCTACGAACTCCTGTTCTAAGATCCTAACCCTTTTAAGAAAGAAACTGGCTGCTTTAAGTTTTTTGACAATTGATCACCTTGAGGCAAGTGTTTGAACAGGCCTCCCCCCAAAATGTCACTTATCCACTTTGGTTCTCATCATGGACACGACCTGTTTTCCCACTCTTTCTTTCCCTGCCCCAAGGGTCCACCAGGAGTGGCCTCAGAAATGGAATGAGGCAGGGCACAAGAATGATCATCTTTGGGCATCTGTCATCTTACAAGCACTTCTAAGCACCCAGAGCCACACCTGTAAGGAATCAATGGTATGGCTAGAAATTAATGGCTGCAAAATTAGTCACACATAGCAAAAAGAAAGGAAATTTGGTAGTTGCCACCTGAGTACCTAGGCTAGCTTCTCTAACTCTTGTCAACTGAGAGAGCCCATGGTGGAAGTGCAAGACAGCCCCACTACCTCTCAGCATCCCAGCCACGGCCCTGCCTGGCTCACAGCCCCCTCCTACATTTCCTTCATTTTAAGCAAACCCAAGAGATGCAAACTTGACTCTGACATAATGAAAGGGATGATTAGCCACTTGACAGAAGAGAGTTTATTTCATATTATACAGAACAGTGGCTAGCAAACTAGCCTGCAGGCCTACTGCCTGTTTTGTCAATGCAAATTTCACCAGCTCACAGCCATACCCATTTATTCATGCATTATTTATAGCTGCTTTCTGCTGTAACAACACAGCTGAGCAATCATGACACACACCTAAGTCCCACAAAATCCAAAGTACTGTCACTCTTTAAGTAAAAGTTTGCTGCCCAAGAGTAAGTGCCACAGGACATTTTTTAAAGAAAAAGTTAGCTTCCATCCACCTGTAAACAATCACAGCTATTACATAAAGTGAGCATAATGCAATTACGGGCATTTCTTATTCTAAAACACTACTCACGTCAATGATGGCCATGAACTCCTAGGTACTTACAGCTCTTTAAGATTCTTCATCTTTACAAAGGCATCCAACTGGATAGACCTAATGGCATTCTCTCCCAGGTTTCTGAAATAGAACACAATGACTTGTGCAAAGAAACCCTGGACACTCTTCAAGGAAGCCACATGCTTGAGCCAGGACACTCAGGGATTTTCTGGGACCACCCTGGTTTCACAGATGACCCACAGATACTAGCCAGACTCCATGCAATAATTCCACTAGAGATGACTCTCACTTTACATGTGTTGACAGAGCCCATGGAGTGACTCAGGGGTCAAGCCAGCCTTAAGGGCACCATTGGTACTAGGTGGAGGATGCTCAATCAACAGGCAAAATCTCCCCCAGCAAAATTAAGGTTGAATTTCATACAAAGAGGAAATAACCTGAAACCACACACCAGAGGCATCCACTGCAGAAGCAACAGGAATGGTCTGGGCTGGCTGTCCTCTTCCTCCCAGGGTCTCAGAGGCAGCCATTCCAGGAGAAAAGACTGCAGTCAGGCCCAACATGTGCTCAGTATGGGTGAGCTGCTTTAGCAGAGGTACTGACTGGGCTGAGATAAAGCACCCGGGTGGAAGTGGCAATGAGACAAAGTGCCCATGAAGGAGCAGGGTGCAGGAGTGCACAGCAGAAGAAAGGAAAGTACTTATCCAAATACCCATCGCATTAATTAGGAGCACAGCAACCAGCCATGTGTTCAGTGACTGTTCTGGTACAGGCAAAATAAAGGGCAAAGTTGAAACTGACTTATAATGAGAAGGAAGCAGCTGGTGCTTGCAAATAGCCGGTTTCTTGATTTACAAAGATGCAATTAAATAGCTAGCAAATTTCCCCAGCCACCGCCTCTGGCAGACTAGGTCTGGCAAGGTACTCACAGGTGCTCCAGGCCTTCCAGCCCCGAGAATGCTCTCTTAGCCACAGACTTGATCTTGTTTCCAAACAGAGTCCTCCAGTTTCCAAACATCCAGGAACAGAAAAGACGGGGTCAGAGAGACAGGGGAGGGTTGAGGAAAGAGAATGCACAATTAGGGAAGTGCTACCTGGTCAGCCTGTCAGGCAGAGGGGAAGCTGACCTGTGCTGAGATTATAGGCCTGCCCCTTTTTGAAAGGAAACACTTTATCTTTACTAGAATTTCACAGTGATGACAGGCTGGAATTGCATAGCCCGCCTGGCCTAGAAAGGCCCATGCAGTGTCAAGTGGAAGTCACCTCGTCCAGCCTGGGTTGTCTCTCTCCACAGACCACCCAAAGGGGGTGGGGGTGAGCCTGAGCTACAGCCTCACAACAGACATGGGACTGGTTACTGTTTAAATTAAGAGGAAGCAGAGTCAGAGAAGGCAATAAAAACTGTGGCACCCACTAAAAACTGCCATCCACTCCTAGTAACTACATTCTGGGGATGGCGGTTCCCCAAACAGACAAGAAGAAGACAGGAAAATGGGTGTCCATGGAGATGGCTCCATAGCTCTTTGCACCAGACATGCACCCAAGCAGCTAGGGTGCACCTACAGTGAGCTGTGTCCTTGCCCTCGGGGCCTGCAGGAGATGCCTAGTCCTGTGGCTTCTTGAGTGAGGTCCCAGATTATATACAAGGTTCATTAAATCCCAGGCAGTCAGGTCCTCAACCATCAACTTTTCAGGTTATCTAACGTCTGTACCCTTGGGCTGCTGACCCATGAGAAGAACCCCCTGCTTCCAGGTAATTCCAAGACCAGCCATAACAGTAGCTGTTAAGAGTTTTCTCATTGACTCTAGAGTCTGTCTCAGACTCTAAAGTACATGTGGAGAACAGAGTGCTGCTTCCACTCTATTCAGTTGAGACCTTTGGCTAACATGTAACAAACCTAACTTCAAATGTGGAATTATAATAGGTGTGTTTTAGTTCCAGAATAAGATTTCAGTTGAAGGTAAAATGTGTAGACGGAAAAGAAAATAATGAAATTATAAAAACATGGTACCCCATTTTCTATGGATGTCCCACCCCCAGTAAAAGCAGTGAAATGGCCAAGCCCTTTGTGGGACAGGCAAGTTACAGAGGGGAAAAAGTGAAGCTGTGGGTTCCACAGGTCCCACACAGGGGAGCCTCCAGAGCAGTGGTGGTGAACCTTTTAGAGCGTTCAGGGATAACAGCACACATGCCAGAGGTTCACAACCACTACTCTAGAGTGTGCTAGACAGAGGGAATGCAAAGCATCAGGTCTCTCCCTGTGGTCAGCACAATACAATTAAGGTCTCTAGTGAAAATCCAAAGGCATTTCTCCAATCCTCCTGGCACAGGAATCCGTCTGCCAGTGAGCAATAAGTTACATGGATTCTTTTAACTTTAATGTCCTCAGGTTTCTCTAAAGGGCTTGCTAAGAGAGCTAAATTCCTGGGAATTCTCAGAATCAACAGGTCTGGGATAGAATCTTCCAGGTAACAGGGCACAGGTGAGCAAAGAAAAAAACCTCTAGAGAAAGGCCATCTGGCTCAGTCCCTTCCTGGGAGAGGGAATTCTTGATCTAGAATCCCCCCCAAGAATCAGGGAAAGATCTGGACTGTAGGCCAGCTCTACCTTCACCTTGCTTAAGACTGGGACCCAAAAGAGAAAGCTCCTCCCTGAAAGAAAAACAAAGGAAAAGTGAACTCCAGAAATCGAAAATGTCAGGACACCCTGAGCCTCGTCCAGCTGAGCTTGGCCCTAACTGCAAACAGGGCATGTAGGGAAGGACCCAGGCCAGAAGCAGTCATGTCCAGAGCAGGTACAAGGGTGCCTGCTCCACTCGCTTCCAGGGCACCACTGGCCTATGGGTCAACTCCTGGGCAGTCTTACCACTGGGGTTTCCTGACTCATTTCACCAGAAACTGCTTTGCTTCCTAGAGGCCTCCCATCCACCAGCCACCAGAAATCACTCTGTTCTGCCTGTGGACAAAGCCAGCTCTGTTTCCTGCCTCCTCTGGATGGTGAAGGGCAAACAGGCCAAAGGACTCTGTGCCTTGACTTTCTCTCAGAGGCAAGCTACATGGATGTGAAAACAATCGCATCCTGAAAGCATCTGCACAGCCTCACAATATGAAACTTTTATTTTAAAATAAATAAACCAAGAGCACAGAAAACTCAGTGGCCTTACTAACTTAGGCTCTTTAACCACAGAACTAGCAGCAAATAACAGCTCATGGGGCAGTGAAGCCCAGATGTGTCTGAGGGCGATGCGTCTGAGGGCGCTGCCAACTTCCACACTTACTCAGATCCCTCCAGGCTGTGGCACTGCGTGCTCCAGGTCCTAGTAAAAATGAACGGAGCTATGCAGTGAAATCTCTTATAAACTAGATCCACGAAAAAGCTGGGCTTTATTTCATCCATTAAAGATTAGTCACACTGACCTCTTTTACAATGAGAGCAGGCTGTTATTTCTAATGGTGACAATAGCAATAAAACAAACTCAAATTCCCAATTACTTGAGGCCAATCATCTTGTTGGTGGATTAAAAGAGGCCCTTACCTTCTCCCTGGAAACATCTGGAGTCTTGGAGGTAGTGCTTAGGCTAGTAGGCTGTGATGGTTCTAATAAACAACTGCTGTCTGTCCCACAGCCAGGGCTCCCCACGAAGGGACAGCTGGCTTGACTCGGAGCAGAAATGAAGCAAGGAAGTCACCTCTTAAACCCTTTTACATACCTCTGGGCCAGCCCATCCAGGGATCCTTAAGGCTGAGTGCAAAAGCAACTGTGCAGAGGCAGCACTATGGTGGTCCTTGTTCTCACTGCCCTTGGGAGAAGCCATGACATGTACAACCCCCTCCCCTACCATGAATCCACTCTGCAGCCCCCACTCTGCCCACTGGCTTTGGCAGCAGCTCTCCAGGCAGGAATCCAGAGGCTTTGCCCCACAGTTCAGGTCCACACACTTGCTTCACAGATGCTGCATGGAACCCCATGCCCATCCCACGAAAGGAATACAAGGGAGCAGGCACCTGCCTCCAGTGTCCCATAAGGGTTCTAATTAACTGCCTCTCATCTGAGGCCCAGAAGCACGTCCCCCCCCATGCCCATTTTCCTCCTCATGCTGACTGTGCCCTTGGGTGGCACAAACACGGAAGAAAGGAACAGAGTTAAGTCTAGGACCACAAACTGGTTGAGTTCAGCAGCTAGAAAGAGGAAGGGCAGGGCAACAACCCCCAGGAATCACAGAAGGAGGCCTCTCATGGTTCTGCTGCCCACCTTTCCCTGCTTTTTGGAAACATCTGCATGGCAGGAAGGACCCCAAGTCTTTGAGTAGATCCAGAATATAGGCCTCTCACGCTCTCCAAAGGCCAACCCAGGCCAGATCAGAGAGACTCAGAGCACCAACTGCCATCTGCACAGCACTGTGGAGGACAGCCCTGCTTTGTGCTACCATACCGCTTCCTAGGCTCCCACAAGCAAGGTCCCAGCCACTTGCATAGTGCAACACAGTGTGGTGGCCACAGAGCCTCCTGGCAATGTATCCAAGAGACAGGATGGGGAAAGGGAGCAAAGCTGGTTCCCTTCCTAAACATTTACTTGACTCCTGCACTACCCGCCCCCCAGCAGTGGGTTGAAATGGAGCTGCACACCAGGATCATGTGGAAACCATTTATTTTCCTCATTTCTTTTTAACATCCGAACTTTCACACACTATCACAACAGAATAGCACCATAAAATGGCTGTCACATACCAACAGCAGTCATCTGATTGTCCCAATCTGTTGTGATTTTGTTTTTGTTTTTTGTAAGTGCTAAGGATTGAACCCAGGGCCTTGTACCTTCTAGGAAAGCGTTCTGCCACTGAACTATATTCCCAGCCGTGGATTGTCCCATGCCTGTCTTGTCACCCTGATCCCTATGCCTACATGTTAAGGTGCTGGTGAGATGCACAAGGAAACTGGGAGCACCACAGAGCAAGAACACTGGCTTTGGAGTCAGGTGAGCAAATCTGGACCCTGTACCAACCAGCTATAGAGTCTTGAGCCAAATTTCCTTACTTCTGTTTTCTTAACTCTAATAAAAGTTGCATAATCGAGCCTGCCCTCACCAGATCATCAGATATTTCCTTTGGACACATATGCAAGCACACACAGAATAACTGGCAGACTGCAGGCAACGAGGGAAAGAAAATAGACCCCAAACATGGAATTCAGAGTAGTTACTACCATTGCCCTTGGTGATGACACTTGCTATATGAGATTACAATTAACAACAACAACAACAAGAAAATACTGATAGGAGCCTCAAAACTATCAAGTACTCAAGACATTTTATAAAATTTCTAGAAACTGAGTAAGATGCAAAAACTCTAGTTTGTGCAAAGGAAAATAAAAACTAACTTGTTTTCACATGAGCTGTGAAGTGGGCCTGAGAGAAAATTCCCAGGCCACCAAACACTATGTGTGTTGGCCCCAAAAACCCACTGCCCGCTGGGGTGGTGAGGAAACCCCTGGTGTGACAGAGGCTGGGGTCTCCCACATTTGTCCTCAGTCTCTTCCCCCCACAGCAGCAGATCTCAGCAGCATTGCTCTCTACTGAGGGTCCAGGACAGACAGGCACAGGGGAGCTGCCAAGGTAGCCACCCATACCAGAATGGCATGCTGGAAAATACTCACAGCTTGCTGAGGTTGTCGAGCCCGGCAAAGGCACCACTAGTATCCTCTATTGTGCCTGAAATCTCATTGTGGTCCAGATCCCTAGAGAGAAGACAATCCGTGAGCTCAGCATCCACTCTTAAGCATGAAGAAGAGACCACCTCATATCCAGGCTCCAATATGGATGTGTCCCCTAGAAGCCCAGCATCACATGTAGTCATAAGTGTGGCCCTAGGAGGAAGCCCTGCTTTACATACTCTTCAGTGTGGCCTGGCTTTCTTACCCTTCCAACAAAGTTGACTCACACCTCAAACACTAAGCTCACCCCAGGCCCTGGGGAAGAAAAACAGCACAGAGAACATCAGGGAGGCCAGTCTGTCTTCTGCCCCTCTGGAACTAGATCTGGCCCTGGCATGGAGAAGCAACCCAAAGGGTTCCTTCAGTTTTCTGTCTCCTCTCACCTCAATCAGAGTACCTTTCTTTTCTGCACTTGGCTATGAATCTTCAAAAGGCATATGGAGGAAAGGGGCAGAAAAGAAAGAGGCCCTGGGCTGGGCCTCTCCACGCTGGCCAGTGGTCTGAAGCCAGAGCCCATCTTCTCACATGCTCTGCACAGTGCTGGACTGTGAGCCAAAGAGGACATCTGGGTGCTGACTCAGCCCTGTGACCCACTCGCCAGATGGGAGAGAGGAAGCCAATACCTCAGGCCAGCTCCTCCAACAATGCAAGTCCCAAGGCCAATTAGTCAGCCTCCTCCTCAGCAACAAGGGCAGTCAGAGTTGAGAATCACACCTGGACACCAGGCCCATGTTCTGCTGGTTCCAACTTCCCATAAGGCACTTGGCTCCTGCATATCCCTCTTCTGAGCTTACTCAGACACAGGCAGAGAAGAGAAAAGGACCCTGCTCTTGGCTCAGAGGGGATGGTACCACAGGGAGGGAGCTCTGACTGAAGGGTAAGAGACTTGCTGTGACTTATACTTCACAGCAGGAAGCTCAAAGAGCAAGTGTGCCGCTGGAAGGGACTTCTCCTGTTATCTTCTGCCTTAACAACCTGTCCCTGTGCTCCGGGCCCTGGCTTCTCTTAAGCCTGCTCTACTTGACCCCTCCCACCAGTGTTATTTAGGCCATGCAAGGGCTAGAGGGCTGACCTCAGCTCAATGGTTTAGTGTCAGACTTTCACCCTCCCTGCAATGACTCCACACTGAAGCCTATTCTACCAGGTGCAGTCCCTCCATCTGACTGCGCAGGCCTCTCTCTGCAGAGGGCCATGCTCAGGAAGGCCTCAGCACCTACTACCACTGTCTAAAGAAAACTACATGCCCCTCTGGGACAGCTTTATGCTAAGAGCTGCTTGGAAATTGCCTGAAGCTGACAATCGAAAAGTCCCAGAAAAGCACATCCGATAGCAACTTCCATCTAATTAGAGACTTACAGGGACAAGGTACTATTACCTTTGCCTTTTAAAATAACTGCCTGATGAGGGATAAGGATTTTGTTTCCACTCCTCTTGGAAATGAAGCATCCTGGACACTAAGCTCACTGAAGAAATGGTACAGATGAACTGTAGTATTCCACTGGCTTGGAGAAAAAATACACAGGACTTCAAAATAGAAGTCAGGTCACAACCAGAAGCTCAAGACAAGGACTGGCATTATGGCTGCTGTCCTGGAGACACCCACAGGAGCCCTGCATTAATGGTTTCCCAACAAGACCCCAGCATCCTACCAAATACAATCTGAGAACTACTGCCTGCTAATTACACTTTAGAGAGCCATCACCCCTCTACAGGCACTGTCCTGGGAAAATGAGAGTGTTTTCTGCTCAACCAGTTCTTGTTCAGTTGATTATACAGAAGTTTGAGCTGGGCATGGTGGTGCACACCTATGATGCTAACAGTGCGAGGCTGAAGCAGGAGGGTCCTGTTGCCAGATTGAGCCCAACCTGGGCAACTCAGCAACTTAGACCCTGTTTCAAAAAATTAAAAAGGGCTAAAGTTGTACCTCAGCGTGAAGACCATGGGTTCAATCCTCAGTAGTGCAAGGAATGAATGAAAATAAAAAAGGGCTAGACATGTAGCTCAGTGAGAAAGCCCTGAATTTAGTTCCCATTACCAGAAAAAAAAAATTGTTTTTAAATTGAGATTGGGCACACATAACAAGTCAGCTGTGGGTCAGATTCTGATTTGAACCCATGAGAATGGAATTCAACAAAGCCACTGCTTTGCTCCATTCTGCTTTCCCACCCAGGGCCCCTTCATTCTGTCACCCCAACAGCGAGAGCCATACAGGACACGCAGGTTTCTGAGTCCCTTGAAGGCGCCTTCGGCGATGTGGCTGATGGCATTGTGGCTAAGCCGCAGGATGCTCAGGATGCTCAGCTCGGCCAGGCTCTCTTCATCCAGACGTGTGAGGTTGTTGAAGGACAGAATCCTGAGGAAGGAGGAGCAGGGCAAATGCTACTACTGGCCCCAGGGTTTGCACTCCCCTCTCTTAAACAACAGGGCTACAACTGGCCAGGTCTCAATGGGAAGAGGACACACACATGTATACACAGGAATTCCAAAGGTAAAAGTGGCCATGTAGCTTGATTCCCACAGGGGCCCAACATCTACATCAACTGACAACTAAAATGGAAGCCACTATTTGCTAAACTGTGAGTTCACATGAGGTCATACGATACAAGAACCCTCAAGACTCCAACCCTTCAGGCTGTGGCCATAGCTGGTCCTGATTTGGGCTATGAAAGACCTCCCTTGGCAGATGGCTAACACAAAGGACCTGATTCCAGGGTATTCCAATACACAGCAAAGCAACCCCAGCTACACTCTCTGCATCGGCCAGCAGAGGGCACCATGAGCCACGGCACAGGACCCCACACCAAGTGACCCCCTCCACCCTGGGGGACCTGACACCAGGGCCTCTCCCTTATCTGAATGGTATCCAAGGCACTGGGGCTCCTCTCACTTCCACTGTAAGGAAGACATGGAACATGCCCCTCAGGTCAACAAACCTTCCTCTCTGAACTCCTGCAACTCTGACATAGCCCTGGGTTGGTAACTTGGCATATTAATGATTATCTGTGGCTGAAATGGGAAATTTGGGCTAAGGTAGAAAGAAAAAAAAAGCAACAGAAAAGGTTGCTGGTTTTTTTAAGGTGGCAGGGAGCAACATTCTTTCCCTCCTAGAGAAATAAGTCATGGTATCTTTCACAAAAACCTGGCAGCAGATCAAAATCACATTCTCACCTGCAATTTAAGAATTTAGCTTAAAGGAGAAGTGGGAAAGCAATCTTCAATCAGGCTCTGAAGTTATCTGGCTATGGGACCAACTTCCAGAACTGGTCAAGGCACTTTGAAGGCCTTCAGCCCCTCTCTAAAAGGCACGGAAGTCAACTTCACACAGTCTCCCAGCCAAACCCAAGAAAGGCTTGAGGACAGAGGCTCCCTGCAGGGACTGAGATACTACTCCTGAAGTCCCTGCTAGTTCCAAAGCAGAAGGAGACAGGGAGGAAAGCAAGGGGACTTAAAGCTCAAAGCCCTGACAGTCCCATCCTGGGCCTAGCTGCTCTGGTCATCCGTCTTCCCTCTAGTACAGGACCACAGGAGCTGCCTCACTCCATCCCCCACCCCCAAAAAGTCCACCATTCTGAGTAGGGGCCAAGCCCACTGCTTTCTGCACTCTGGAGGACTGGCCTCCAGGCACTAGACCCAAACAGTCACAAACCAAAACAGAGGACACTCACAGCTCGTGCAGCTTCTGACAGAAGCTCCAGCCATCACGGTGAATGCGAGAGATGGCATTGTTGCTGAGGTGTAGCTGGTGCAAGGCTGTGAGGCCATATAGTGAGCCGCTGTTTACCTCCACCAGACTATTGTACTCCAGATGCCTGCAATGAAAGTCACATGCAAGATGAAGAGGGGGTTGTCATTCATTCATCCAATGGACAGAAAACAGAAAGTCACTCTATCAGACACTGGTCAGCGCCAAGGACAGAACAGAACAGGAGAGAAGTGTGACATCCATGTGTGTGCACACACAGGGGTGGGAGAAGATAAATCAAAGCAGTCAGAAATGCCAGGGCAGCCTCCAGAAGTTGAGGGGACAAGGGGAAGCTCGCTAGAAGTGACATTTTAGCAAAGTATTAAGTGAACCAAGCAACAAATGGGCAGAGCAGTTCTCATTAGGGACAAAGCCATGAAAGGAGAGAAAGAAGAAAGAAAAGGAAGCAGCCCACCTTAATCATAAAGAAAATGAAGTTAAGAGAAGCCACATAAAAAATAAATAAATGAAATTTTAAAAAAAAGAGAAGCCACATAACCTGTCTAATATTCCCCAGCTTAGCAAGGAATGAAAAGGCCAGAAGTGATTTAAACCTATGTGGCTAACAAAAATTGGGGCTCTGGATCACTCAGGAAACCCAGCTTTAGCTCCAAGGTCAGACAACTTGGATTTACAGTGGTACCTTGGTTCAGAAACGTAATTCTTTCCACAATTCTGGTGGGAATAAATCCTAATTTTCCCACTTTGTTGGCTTAATGAGCCTGAACATCTACAAAATGGAGATATCCAAGAGCATCAATGTAATAGGGCCATAGGAGAAAAAAAATAAGAAAATACACATCAGGATGTTGGCACACTGCTGTGGACATGGCTCTCAACAACTGTAAGTAAATACAGACAGACTCTGACTTAGGATGGCTCAACTTACGACTTTTCCACTTCATGATGGGTGAAAGCAATACACATGCAATAGAAACCATACTTGGAATTTTGAATGTGGCCTACTTCCTGGGCTAGCACTATGCAACATGATACTCTCTTGCAGCACTGGGCAATGGAAGAGAGTCACAGCTCCCACAGTCAGCCCCATGATCAGGAGAGGAAACCACCAGTACTTGTTGCTCAGCTAGGATGTTCCACAGACTAGGTGTATCAAACACATTTTCAATTCACAATCTTTTCAAATTTCAATGTGTTTATGGGGATGGGACCTATCACAGGTCCAGGTGTGTTCACATGCTATTACCTCCTTCCTCAACACAGCACATTCTTGCCCAGGATCACTGCATCCTGGAAAACTGATGTCCTTAATAAAAGTCACTAATTCAAATTTTGCTCCATGTTCAATATTACAAGAGTTCTGAACAACCAAGGTTTACTTTTTGTCATCTTTCTATCACACTCAAAAAGGAAGAACTTACTTTATAGACAACGTCTAAGGCCAGTCACCACTCTCACTTTGTACTAATTTGTTCAACATAAAACTTCACACTGTTTTCCTCTGAGAATTCTCTTAATCTCTGCCCACCTAGCACATGATCAACTGGATTTCAAATTCTAAAAGATACCTCTCAGGAAGGAGAAGTGTTTTCAGGAGGTACCAAGATCTAGCCAACTTAACGTAGAAAGTGAGGACATCAAAAAGCCGAGCTGTAGGCTCCTGACCCGCTGCAGAGAGACTGTGCCCTGGGAGGTGGGGGTGTCAGTGGGTGGTGTTCGGAGAAGAGGGAAGCCCAACATGCTAGTAGGCAAGCCCTAGGATTCTGATTTTGGTTTTAGTTACCAAGATAACCATTAGAGAATGTAAAAGCTGAGAGATAGACTGGAAGGTAGCAGGAACAGTGGTGAACTGAACCACTAACTTTATAAAAGCATAAAATCTCAAGTTGAAAAGTAAAGACAGTGGTACAAGTGTGTTAACTTGGGAGCAGCCACTAGCAAACCTGGAAACAAGAAAACTAGAAAAAGGAATGCTTGGAAGCAGCTGATTCTCAGGTAAACTGGATAAAAATTCTGTACCTTTTTGTTTTGTTGTTGTTACTCTGGCAGGCAGGCAGCTCTGCTGTTATACACATCTTTTTAAATATTTTATTTCTATTAAAATATGCAGTATTTATCATTATGCAGTACATAATGTTCACATTCATTATAGGAAGCTGAAACCTGCACATAACATATCTTAATTCCTTTAATATCTTTTGCCCCTCTCCTCCCTCCCTATTGTACACATCTGGCTGAAGGGAATATTCCCTTGATAAAAGCCAAACATCTGCACCAAGTGCCTCCATTAGCTCACAAGGCAGAAGAAATAAATCTCCTAGGATGAACCAAACATTTTTGGCCCACCTGAACATCACGAAAGACTGTCAAGCCCAAATGGGGACAGAAAGAACTTCCTGTAAGTGTGGGAGTGGGGAGGTTGTGTGGAGGGAGTTTGCTCTGTAGACTGGATTCACTGAAAAAGAGGGGGTGAATAGCAGAAGGGTTGCCTCCTCCACCTTTCCTGGTCCAAAGCACTGAAACCTTCCCCAGGAAAGTTCCTGCTCAGGCAGAAAAGCACCCGCAGGTTGGCCCAATCCAAAAAGATAGATCTGAAGGCAGGGTGCCGAGTCCAGGGGGGTGGTTCTTACACCCAATGCTCGGATGTATGTGCATCGAGCGCACGCGCGTGCATGCACACTCACACACACACACAAGGCACAGAACCCACCCACGTCCCTGATCTGCCTATACTTACAGCACATGCATCTTGGATAGCCCCCAGAAGGCACCATCAGTCAGCTTGCTGATGTTGTTCCGCTGAAGCTTTAGCACCTCCAAGCTGTCGAGCCCCTGGAATGTGAGGCCCTCGATGAGCCGAATCCGATTCCGGTTGAGGTCCCTTAAGAGATAAAGCTAAAGGGGTCAGAGCAACCCATGTGCACATCCCACCCATGAGCATTCCAGGCAGGCCCAGCTGGGGTTTCCAGCCAATGGGGAAATGGCAGTGAAGGGGTACCAAGGAGCCAGGATTTTCAACAGGAGCCCAATTTATGCCTCATGGGGCAAGCAGCCGCTATTGTCATGGACTATTGAGGTCAACTTGGAAAGAGCAGCATACAGAGTTGTCCACAGCCAGCTCTGAGCCTGGGGGACCTTGAACCATGAGTACTGTATGTTTCTTGCTCAGGGGTACAGGCACCATTCATGATTCTGCAGCCCAGATATGGGCATGACTCAGGAGGTAGACTGTTTAGGTGAGGTCTCTTAGCTCAGCAATAGAAATCCACACCAGATGCTTCAACCCAGGAAAGTCCTAACCACTGGGTATTAAATGGCAGTCATGCTTTCCACTGAAGGCACCTGACAGGACCTCCACATACAGAGAGAAGTTATTGCCTATGGTGGTGGGGAGGGGCTGTGTGTGTGTGACACAGTTGTGTCAGCCTGGGTAACTTAGCCCTGATGTAACAGAGCCTCACTTGACCAAAAGATGCCAGGAATCTGTGTGGGCTGTACCCATTTGCAAATCTGGAGCAAGGACAGAGAGAACCCAGGGCTGACCAGAAGGCCCTTGGTTTTCCCCAAAGACTTCCACAGTGTCTCTTGACCCTGTCTCCTACGCAGCTTCCTTCACATCAATGAAACCTTCTCCATAGACTGAGAAGAGTTACACTCAGACTCCCCAGCCAGGGAAGGTGATATGCAGCAGTGAAGGCTGGGGACCCCATCCTGCCAGCAGTTGGGCCTTCAACAAGTGTTCTGTCCTGTTTAAACCAAATTTCCAAAATCAGCTTATTTTCCTGACACACACTTTCTACTAAAAATAAGAACAAGAAGAAAAGGAGGAGGAAGAGGAGTGGGGGAAAGAGGAAAGGAAGAAGAGAAATCCAGTACTTTCTCTAGCACCTAGGTAGAAGATGATAATTTGATGGGAGGAATAAAAATCCTTCATTAGGTTTTGGTTAATGAAATTTTTCTTGAATCTAAAATCGCATGCCATCCTGGGGGGACAACTGGCTTTGGTCATTGCAAACCTATCTAAATAAGTCATTTTAAGAGAAAAAATTGAGTAAGCTACCTTGTAAGATTTAGGAGATAGACAAAGGCAATGACCATCTCTTACTTACTATCTCTAGCTATGTGAAGTTCCTGTCAAACTGTCCAAGAAATGTCAGAGGCTCTCGTGCCCAAGGTATAGATTTTGTGGCTACTTTTTTAAATGACACTAAAAGGCTGGAGGTGGTGGCACACACCTGTAATCCCAGCACTTGGAAGGCTGAGATAGGAGGATCATCATGAATTTGAGGCCAGCCTCGAATACATAGTGAGTTCAAGGCCAATGTGCACTACAAAGTGAGATCCTGTCTCAAAAACAAAAAAAGACACTAAAAATCTCTGAGATAAATAAGAAACTGAACTCACAGCCTAAGCATTAACCAGCAGGATCCTTCATTTCATTTTGGAAGATGTCAGCAAGGACAAGCACATATATACTCAGTGGATCTTTTTCCTCAGTAATCTAAGGCAGCCACCAGCACCAGACCCAGCTCCTAATTTGCTTTTATTAGGTGTTACCAAAGAGCCATTAATGATAGTTTATGTACAGCTTTACGGAAGGGGAGCGAGGAAGGAGTTGCATGTGGTCTGGGGTCCTTGGGGAAAATGCAGTCCCATAAAGTTTTCTACCTTAATTAAAGTGTACTCACAGTTGTGTCAGCCTGGGTAACTTGAATGCTTTTACAGGAAGCTGGGTGATCCTGTTTTTGCTCAGACGAAGAGTAAGGAGCGACCGTGACAGACCATCAAATGCTCCCAACTCCAGGGTGCCGATGCGGTTGCTTGCCAGATTGCTAGAATGATTCAGGACAGAAAATATAGTGCAGCAGGAGGCCTCCCTCATTCTGCTCCAGACACAGGACCCAGCTGGGTCTGAGCTGGGAAAACCCACTAAGGCACACCCAGAGGGACAAGTTTCTGATGAGACATTTGTCATCACAAGGCTCTGAAGCCTGTCCTGACTCCCAGGTGGGGAACCAGACAAACAGAAGTGTCAGGACTGTCCAACAAAGGCCTCAAGGCAAGCCTTGTTTCAGTCACAGCACACTGTATTTCAAGCTGGTCGGCCCAAGAAGGTGGGAGTGACAATCACACACCTCATTAAAACCCTCTCACACACCAGCCTAGCCACACAGTGGCATCCTCAGGAGCCACCTGCAGGACTCCTTCCTCACCCCTACTATCCCAGACTGATAAGAAGCAGCCTAGGAAGCAGAAAGAAAATTAAGAAGCAAGGTCAGTCCCGATTCACCAATTTGGGGAAAGAGTCTTTGTGAAGTGGGTCTCAATGCATGACTTACATAACAAGTATATATAAACCAGTTCAAATAATTTTAAATGCTTCAAAGAAACACCCTCATGAAAGAGACTTGTGCCAAGTGCTTTAGAAAACAAGCAATACTTTCTTGTGGTGCCTACAGATTAGATATGTCAAGAGTGCCTCCCACAACCACACAGAGAAGACAGGCACTGCAGCAAACAACAGAGATGCATGCATCTCATTGTGTGCAAATCATATCAAGTAATAAAAAAGGAAGGAACAATATGGCACTCCTATGAGAAGCTAGTCCCAACATCTCTCTTACTGCCTTTCCCAAACAAATGCTGGATGCTTCTGGCCTATGTGAAAAGGAAAAAGACTAGAGTGAAACTTCCACCATGGAGTGAGGGGACGAGGTACCTGTGGTCTCTCCATCAGGCAGAGGCCCAGGACAAGGCACATGAGGATTCTCAGCAAATGAAGCTGGACTGTTTGTTCCTAACACTCCAGATTACAGAAGAACAGTCTGTGTGATGAAGACATACCAGCCACCAGCTGCCAAAATAGAAAGTCCCTCCCACTTTTGTGAAGGGAAAGAAGGCCACTGCAATTCAGTTTAGCAGTTGGTGGTTTATCTGTCCCAAACAAGGAAGTGTCAGGTGGCAGCTGGACACCTTTTGAAAGCCCCCACTTAGGACTTAACAAAAGCCAAGTCCTCTTATTCCCAATTCTGGTACATTGATGCAGCCAAAGAAATTGCTCCTCTCCTCCAAGTCGTGTAAAATTCATGGGCTAAACCTTATCTTTCCTGAAAAGATGGGTCATGATGACCTCTCCACCAGCCTTGCAAATGAGCTCCAAAATTACTCACTGGTAATCGGAAAATATCTCTTTATAGGAGGTGTTTAGATTCTTCTCCAAAGAAACATTTCCCTACCAACAAGTAGTAGATTATTTGGGTTTTAACATTTTTACTCCTGTCTACTCTCTACTGCACATGAGATGGGGCATGAAGATGGGTAAAAGAAAAACAAGGAGTAAATATAAATGGGGCTCCTGCTCTCTGCCTTGCTGAGGAAAACCAAAGCCTGTATTGTCCCAGTGGCTCAGCCAAGTAGGACTGGGAAGCAAAGGAAGCATCCACCCAAGGTCAGACCTGGGGACCTAGAAGGCTGTTACCAGGCTGGAAAGCAGAGAGGCTGTCTGGAGGCAGAAGTACTTACAGCTCTCTTATGCGCAGTCCATGTGGAAAGCAGGTGCTCCGGATTTCTGTGATGTTGTTTGAACTCAGATCCAACACTTCCACTGACAGGTATGCCTTCAGATGACTCCCCTCCAAACTTCGAATCTTATTGTGCTGCCTGAAACAAGGGGAGGTGACTGGAGCATTTCATTTTTGCAAAATAACTAGAGGAAACTAAAACTATGCTCTCCTCCACTATTTTTACTAGCTGCCGTGCTCTTTAATAAAAATTACCGTTCAGTGGCACTCAATATGTGATCTCCCATTCTTCCTCCCATCAAGTTACTATCTGCTAGCTAGGAGCTAGAGAGAGTGCTGGATTTTATGTCTGAGACAGGCTGTCTGCCAGAGTACTGGCTCAGATGCTCTGCCCAGGGGCAAGAGCAAAGGTGGTATTTAAGACCACTTAATGTGTGTTTGATAATAAAGTTATTTTTAAAAAAACCAAAAAACACTTAAGACCAGAATGGCATGTCCAGCACCCACTGATACAACTACCATAAAGGATGAGTTAGTGCAACTAGCCAGCTCCAACTCAGCTCCCATCTATACTCTTTGGAACCCAGACCAGTACAATAACTTTCAGGACTGTCAGCATCAGAGCCCAGTGGTCAGTTTGATCCAACATAAGACACTGTTACAGAGCTCACATTTTACACACAGCTCACATAGACAGTGCCAGCCATGGAAAGAGACACAGGAGATTAAAAAAAATGATGATGATAATGATGGCAAAATCCTGACAATTAAAGCTCACTTTTTAGGTGTAGCCAGAATAAACCCCTTACCTTTACACTCTTAATGACTTTGTGCCTCGGTTTTTGCATCTGAAACATGGGGCTACAACCTGTCAGTCTGCCAGGTGTATGCAACCTGCAGCTGAGGGCTGGGGATGCCCGGCTTGCCTGGGCCACACTGAGTAAAAAACAATTATCTCAGGCCATGTATAAAATATAATATAATTAATATATATACGTAACAAAATCTTTTATTTTTAATGTTTTTATTATAATATAGGTGTGTCCAACCCACAGGCTATAGGTTGGACACACCTGAGTGGATGATCTAAGCTGAACCCACACTGAAGCATACAGCCAACATTAAGGTCAGAGTCAGTGTTTACCGGTCCAAGAAAGGTACTTCACACCATAACTTATTTGGACCTTTAACCTTCTTTCTGTCAAGCCCACAATCTAACCAAGCAACCAGCAGTTATTAATGAGGAAAAAGATAATGAATGCCAATCCAGGTGGGGACTGCCCTGCTGTGGACTTAGCTCTGCCTGGCATTCAAATCACTGTGGCTCTGACTCCAATAGTAGAAACCTAAGAGGTATATGGTGAGGCAGTACTAGCCCCATGGGTTCCAGACACACATTCAGGCCCATCCTTAGTAAACAGAGCTGCTCTCCAGCCAATCTGACCATTTTGGAACACAAAACAAGCAAGCCAGGCATCACTTACCAAATGGCATCTCCTTTAAACAAACACTTGGCCAAATCAGTCCTAAGAGACATAAACATGGACCTATGCCCAGAAGCTCCACACTTCTCCCTGATCCCTTTACTTTCCACGATTCCTTTGCTTCCCTGATTCTCCCAGGCCCCCAACTCAAAACTCCATTTACAAGGGCAAAACTCAGCCCCCAGAGATCCCTCTCTGGAATGGAAGGACCACCCCCAACCAGCTACTTTCTGTGAGTTCTTTAAATTCTTTAATAAAGATAGTCTCTTCAGTTTTCTGATTCTAAAAAAAAAGAAAAGAAAATCCTTATTATGTAGGTATGGGGAAAAAAAAGAACAAGAAATACAGGCAAGAGGGGAATAATAAGGCAAGAGCCTTATGCTGGAACTCTGAATACAGGTCCCAGAAAGCCAGGAAAAGAGGATCTGGGACCAGGCTCCTTCACCCAAAGCTGCACAATGATGGACCTGGCATGCCAAGGCTTTGCACAGGCAAAATCCTGGGGGATGGTTGTGAGAGCCCTGGCATGTCTCAAACTTCCCTGACTCTCTCCTCTCCCCCACATCACCTCCTCAATTCCTCCATCTTTGTCTTTTGTCTTATACCTTTTTCTTCTTTCTTGTCAGTCTATTTATTCACAGACTCAAACACATCATGGGCCCCTATTCTGCACAAAGGACTTTTGAGGAAGACAAATCTCTTTCATACACTGGGAGAAGTTTACCATCTGGCAGAAGGGATAGCCCTGGAGATAGGAGCAAGGGGGTCACACTTTATTCTGCCAGGAAGAAGCTGCTTGGACAGATGCCTGTGACCAGGATGCTGCAGTGAGGAGGGACCAGGCAGGGGAGGCCTCACAGTGGGCCAGGTGAAAGGGCAGCGATCTGGAGATAAGCACCAGAGAATAACAGGAAGGCTGCAGATTACAGCTGGGGAGCTTCAAATGGTGATCATAATCTTCTAGTCCAGACCTCTGGAGAAGGGAGCCAGGCTAGCAGGCCACTGGCTATACCACCTTCCATCCTTACTCACTTGCTATCTATTCCCAGCCCAGTGAGATTCTGTTAATAAAAATCAGTGGCCAGGATGCTCATGGAATAGGAGACATTTACAAATCAAATAACTGATAAGAGGATCACATCCAGAACACAGTCACCTGTGTATCTGCAAGTTCTACCTTTGTGGATTTAACCAAGTACAGACAGAAAATATTCAGAAAAAAATTGCATCTGTAATGAACATGTAAACATTTTTGTCATTATCCCCTATATAATACAGTATAACAATCATTTATATAGTATTTATACTGTATTACATATTAAAAGTCATTTAGAGATGATTTAAAGTATATGAGAAGGTGAAAATGGGTTATATGCAAATACTTGGTCATTTTATAGAAGGGACCTGAACACCTATGGATTTTGCTACCCATAAGGTGTCCTGGATGATTCTATATAAATAACCCTGACAACTCAACAACAGAAAATAAATATTCTAATTTAAAAATGGGCAAGGGACTTGAGTGGATGATTCTCTAAAGAAGGTCTACAAATGGTCAACAAGCACATGAAAAGATGTTCAAAATCAGCGTTCATCAAGGAAATACTGTGCTATCACCTCACACCCATCAGGATGGCTACCATCAGAGGAAAAGAGAAGTAGTAAGTGTGGGTGAGGATTTGGAGAAATAGAACAAGTGTACATTGCTGGAGGGAATGTAAAATGGGGGTGGGGCTGCTGAAGAAAATAGTAAAATGACTCCTCATAAAATTCAACACAGATTCACCATATGATCCAGCAATTCCACTTTTTAAAAACTGTGAGGTCTTTATATTAAAGATAAATATAATATATTCAAATATATTAAAACATAAATAGGCTCTTACAGTACATGTTATAGAATTTTCTTTTCTTCCCCCTTCATTAGTATATGTTTGTGGAAATAAACACATTCATCATGTGGAGCAATTCCTCTTAAGAGTATGAAAAAGAAATGAAAGCAGATCTCAAGGAGACGTTTGTATATCCATGTTCCCAGTAGCATTAGCCACACTATTCAAAAGGTAAAGCAACCCAAATGTCCATCAGCAGAGAATGGGTAAATTCAGTGTATACATACAATGGAATATTACTCAGCCTTGCAGAAAGAAAATCCTGTCATGTGCCACTGAAACAACTAAGGCCCTTGAGGACACTATCCTCAGTGAAATAAGCCAATCACAAAACCACAAATACTGTATGATTCCACTTATAAGTGGTATCTGCAACAGCTGACTTCACTGAAACAGAAAGTGGAAAGGCAGTTGCCAGAGACTGGGGAAAGAGGACAATGAAGATTTGTTGTTTAATGACACGGAGTTGCAGTTTCACAAGACAGAAAAAGTTCTGAGATCAGCTGCACAACATGAATGTACTTAACACTATTGAACTCTACAGTTAAATTTTATGTTATGTGTATTTTACCATGATTTAAAAATAAAACAAAACACAAGACAGTTTACAGGACTTTCCTGCCTAAAATAAATGCTGATTCTTGTGGCTCACTTAGGAGTAAGGCCCTACAGTGCTCTCAGGGCCCACGTTATCTGCCTCAAACCTACCTAGCCTCCCACTGTTCTCACCGCTTAGAATGCTGTTTTCCCCGCTTAGAATGCTGTTCTCCCTGAAATTCACCTGTCTCAAGCCCTCACATATTTCCTGTCTTTATTCAAATGTCACCAAGACCCTCCCTAGCCACCCTCTCTAGAACCACAGTGCACACATACCCACACATGCACACACACACTTTCCACTCCCTTGCTTTATTTTCTCAGTAGCACTGTCATGTAGCATACTTTGTAAGTACCTGTTTCTAGTACAACAATCTTCTCTCTTACTATAATGTGACAATAGGAAGGGAGAAATGTTTGTCTGCTTTGTTCACTACTGTGCTTCCAGCCACTGGAAGAGCATAAGACATGGAGTACATGCTCAATAAATATTTGTTGAGTAAATCACAGAGTGAATACAGGTTAAATTTGGAAAGGCTGAGGGCAGCACAGATGTGGAACTCATCAGCATTTGCGCAGAAGAGCTCAGTCAGGAAATCTCAGGAGTGCCAGGAGGGAAGACTGCCCAAACATAAAGTACACATCACAGCAGCTACAGGGAGCCCCAGGACTCCAACACCACATCCCCAGCTGCTGCGGACACAATTATCACCATCTGTCCCAGGGTAGGTCTCTACATTCTAATTGCAGCAAGGCCAGGATCGAACCTTTCTAAATGTCCTGTTCTCAGCAGAGCTGACTTGGAAGCCCTATGCTCCTACCAAACCCAGCAGCCCTTCCCTGCATGGCAAGAACCACTGCTTAGATGTTTGAGGACCCCAGCAACTCCACCCAAGACCAGGAAGGGCTTCCTGTTCTGGAACATGGCAGCACACAGTGGAACATGAGCTGTGGGCACTGCCCCACCCAAGTCAAATTCCAGGTACCACCACTCACAGGTGTGAATCTGGGAGTGTGAAGTTCCTATGCCCCATGGGCTGACAAGACCTACCTCAATGAATTGAGTTCCTGTTTTTATTAGTCACATTTGTATCCTCAGGACCACGCTGAGGATCTAATTTATAGGAGATACTCTGGCAAGTGAATGTATAAGTAAATGGACCCCA